CCAGGCTTCTGCACATATTTGTGTAGATTTTGACTGGCCCCAAAGGTGAGTGTGCAAGTGGCAACAGAACTGTAGCCTGTACTCTACTCCCTAAGCCTTCAGCCCAGAGGAAGGGGTATCTTGTAATTAATCTTCCTAGAGGGGATTCCTTTCCTCTGACAGACCACTTATGGCCAATTTAATATTCAGTCCTAATCTTCACATTTCTTGGCCTGGCCACCTACATTATAAAGTATGACAAAACTAAACAAAAAGAATATCCCTTGCTACTAAAATAAGTCCAATATACTAGATTTTTTTTTTTTCAGGTGAGCCATCCTGCCACCTGTTGGCAGCTCAGCTCGGGCCGGGCATCGAACCGCTGTTGCTCAGAGCTCACACTCTTGAGTGAGCTCTTAACCAACTGAGCCACTCGGCTGGCCCCCAATATCCTAGATTTCTACTGGAAGTATCAAAAGCCTTTTGTAGGATTCATCTGAACATTTATCTTTATATATTCACAGTTCAGAAAGCATGGTCTATCTTACAACTTTCTAAACTTCCTCTGTAGCTAGAGAAGACAAGCCCATCTGACTCAGCTCTTTTACTTCCTCTGTTGAATCACATGGTGGCTGACACTGAGGAAGCCATATTGCAACCACAAAGGAAGGAGACATGAACTTCAGCCATGTCGGCTGTTGTTGCTTTGCTGCCAAAGCCAGGAGCTGCCTACCTCCATCCCTTTCTCTGCTGTAAGAAAAATAAGCTGTTCGTTTACACCAGCACATGTTGGGTTTTCTGCTTTTATGTCTAACACATTCCTTACTGACATAGCGCCATAATAACAAAACAGGCAGTGACAACAATAAGCTCTCAGCAAGTCCACAGCGCTATGTAGTTCTTTTAATTCTGACATCTCAGATATTTTACCCCTAGCGTACTCTCTCCAAAGCCTGTTAAGAGTCTATTTTAAAATAATTCATTTGTTTCTTTGATGGTCAGGGTTTGTTAGAGAGCTTTTACATTTTTTGTTTGTCTGTTTTTTTGTGCAACATCATTAGTCACCGATGAGTCATTAGCTCCAAATTGTGCAGCAAGTACCTCTTCGCCTCTCCTCTGAAGATCTCCTCCAGCATTTATTTTTTTCTCTCTCAGATTAAATCACTCCTGTATAAATGGCAAATAAATTTTATCCTAAGAGGAAACATTAAGTCATTTAATATAACAACATGAAGGACACAATTATTCCCATGAAGGCCTCTGACATTTTCATGGCAGCTTCAAATGTTTATTTTTATCACTTGCTTGGAGAATATCCCTTTACATGGCAGTAGGCTTGAAATTTACATCTTATCCAACAGAATCGACGTTAATGGACTTCCATTCTGCTTGCTCTTCTGTAACATTTCCCCAGAGCTCATCACTGGGCTTGAACCCAAAATTCTGTCCTCTCTCCTGGACTCCCAGCACCTGATAAACAGGCCCAGATTCTGGGGCACGGGTAGCCCTGCCAGAAAACGATGCTCAGTAGTCCCCTAGTGGCCTCAAAGAGTTCATGCAGTCCCCTGAAATGTTGCTTCTCCTCCAGGAGCTGCCAATTCGCACGTTCCTTTCCAGCAGGCCGAGGAAATACAATCGGGAGTCGGCTTGCTCTAGGTTTGCTCTCCGGTGGGTCGTGAAGTCCTTCTAGGTGTCAGGCTGCATCTTCATAATGTGAAATTTTGCTCTCAAGTTTGGGATGCAGTTTTCTGAATTAAAAGGCTTCTTTTAGAAGCTAGTGACACTAACCCACTTACCTGGAGCCAAAAAAAGAGGAATTTATAATAAAGATACAGTGCTTTGGGGAAGAACTCTCAAGGGCAGAAATGACACCTAGATTATGAAGGCTGTAATACATCTAGGCTGTTAACTCAGTTTTCTTTTGGGGGGGGCGGGGGGAGGAGGGTGTTTCAGTGATGTGTGTCTGCATCTTTCTGTACAACTGCTGCATTTCTTTTTGTTCTCTCACCACAGCTATTTCTCATGTTGTATGAACTTGGCCAAACAGGCCCTCCCCAACACTGGCAGCCTTAGTAAATGACAGACCAAACTCTAATTTTTCAACCCATTTCTATAATAAATGCTGGAGAAAAAAGATTTGACTTGGCCAAGGATGATGATCATGATGATGATTATGGTGATGATGGTGGTAGTGGTGCTGATGGTGTTTTTATTTCTTGCTTACTATGAGAAATTCCCTGCGATAATCCACATCATGCATTTTTCATTTAATCCTCACCAAGACTCTATAATCACATTTCGTAGGTGATGAAGATAAAGCCTAGAGATGATAAATAATTTGCCTCAGTAACTTGCCTGCTGATGAACCTGAGTTACCCAATTCCAAAATGGTCTAATGAACAGAGAACTGACACAAGATCAAGTAGCACGAGGGCCACTGGTAAGGCCCTACCCCACGACGTAGCAGAGTAACTCTCATAGCAAAAGGTGTTCTTAGGGATGGTTTAGACAACTCCACTGGGGTCCATCACACATGCCCATGCTTTCTTGCAAATCCTCCAGAGCGGAACATTCACCTCTCCCTCTGTTAGACTCAGTTTTCTCTTCCAGGTTTTTTTTTATTCATTGAACTGCTCTTTGTTTCTTATACTCCAGTTTCTCCGAGTTACTTGTTCATAAGCAGCACATGAATTACCACACCTCTGAGCTCATCATGCAGCCTGCAATGGCCTTTTCTAATCTATTAAAAGTCTATTCAGCTGCTGAAGCTCAGTCCAAATGTCCTCCTTTTCATAAAAGTCACTGATCCCCCCACCCCACACAGATGCCTCGTCACTCTGTGTTTCCATAGCACGTGGTTCATAAACTATATTTTTGGCACTCGACATCTTATTTCTATTATGTTGATTATGAATATCTACAATGTGAGTTTCCTGAGAGTGAGCGTTATTTTTTCTTAAAGTTTATTGGGGTGACAATGGTTAGTAAAGTTACATAGTTTCAAGGGTACAAGTCTGTAATACATCATCTACATATCACATTGTGTATGGATATTATTATTTTTTTTAAGTCCTATATTCTCAGCACATGACAAGCACTTAATAAAGGTTAAATTAAACTGATACTGGTTGAATAGGTATAAACCATGAATTCCTACACCTGTGTTCTTTTACACATAACTTGTTGACCCCGTTAGATTTGTGTTTTGAGCTATGAGATCAATATCGCCTGCTATACTTTTGGGGGCCACCAAAGTGCCCTGTAGTCTGTTCTACATGCTATTCCTAACCAAGCCAGAACAATTGGAAGCTGCTGTCCATAGGACTGTCCCTTTATTGTCCTTTGCTTCCCTGAGCAATTTTATCCTTATTGCACTGGATTCCCAAAAGGGGATGCACAGGGATTTTGTACAGTGTCCACTGAGAGGTCATGCATCTCCTAACAACAATATAAAAAATAATGCCGGTCGAGAGCATTTAAGAGCTCTAACTTTAGTAAACGGAATTGGATCTGTCACATATAAAACACGGTGAGTAAAAGTACATAGTTTGGAATTAGAGACACCAGCTAGCTCTGGGCCGTAAGGGAGTTGAAAATACGCTGTGGTCATCAGGGGGAATAAGTTTCAAGTAGAGTGAAAAGAATCAGAAGAGATAGGAAGCCAACTCTTGTGATGAATATGAAAGGCTTTTACAAGTGTTTGTAAAATTAGAGAGGCCATAATATTGAAACAAATCTTTGTTTCAATGGCTGCCATGCGGTCTTTCCCTTGGAAATTACTGTGAATGGATCCAAAGGTGAGAACTAGGACTAGGGTGCAAGTTTCAACTCCACACAAGTAAAACCATGTGAGAAAACAGATGTTGAATACCACTTGCCAGAAATGCTGGAGGGAATTCAGGTTGTTTGATGAGTAACCAGAAAATTCCATAAAACCGTTAGATTCAGTAATCACAAAAAATGTATATACATTTCATAGGAAATCTTGTACTCTTCCTGTTTCCATTTTTTCTTTGGTTACAGCTAATTTCTTGAAATGCTTCTCAAATCATTTATGTCACATCTTCAGAAATGACACTTAAGACTGCCCTATATCTGCAATAGCTGCCATTGGCTTTGTAGAATTTAGGGTCTGAAGATACAGACTTAGGTGAGTTGGGTGGATACTGAGTGACTTTGCTTTGGCAGGAGGATGGTAAAATGAGACATTTGCTTCTTGTTCTTATGGTTTTGAAATATATATATATATATATATGTTTCAGAATTTTATATATATTTTTATATATACATATATGTATATAATTTTTACTTTTTAATTTAAGGATTACAAGTTTAAGATTTAAAGACACTTCTTTTACTCCAACTTCCTCCTACCAGCCCGGATAAAGAATGCTATTTCTTGGGTTCAACAATTTTGCTTTGACCTGTGGCTGCCTAGTAAGACAGTATCAGCAACATCGTTATTAACCATGTCCATGGATGCTTCATTCTTACAGCATTTCAACATGGGGAACCTTAATCAGCTATTTCCAGACACTCCCTCTTCTAGGGAACATCCACGATACTGTCCAGATTTCTAGAGACAGTGGTAGGATCCGTTTACATCTCAGTTTCAGATGACACAACTTTGACAGGAAGGATCAGCAAAGTGCTTAAAGAAAACACTAACCCCAACTGCAAGATGGCCCGGGGTCGTTCTGGTATCTTATGAGTGTTTTTCAATAAATAATGAGAGGTAATGTTTAAACACAGAGGAAAGGTGTGTCTGATGCAATTCAGCTGATGAAATCAGAAAGAGAGACCCCAAGAGGATGCCAATATCCTTAGACTTTTTAAGCAGTGTGAACTGTATAGGAATCCTTCTGTGAACCATAGAAATAATAAATGCTAAACCCATTGCAACATAATCTCAATCAGCAAGATGCCACTGCTTTCCAGATTTTCTCACAGGGCTCTGCTAACTCCATGCCAAAACTAGCCGTGGATTTCTTCCTTCTAATCTCGCCTAATGCCTTGTTCAATTATTGTCACCGCTCTCCAACCATGCACTGTCCCTTCAGACTCTCATTTCCCAAATGAGTCAGTCAGAGGCGGCTGAGTGTCCACCAGGACATAATCTAAGACCACAAGCCACCTTGTTCCATGTGAAAAGACAGGAACGGATACACAGAGAGCAAGGGGGACCCTCCAAGTTTTGCTGGCAAGCTCATCATCTACTGGATTACCGGCAGGACGAGAAAAAAAAAACAAAACAACAGGCTATGAGGGGTCCAGAAGGTTGCTCTAGTTGACTGGCAAAGGGGAGCTGGTTGGTAGGGAGGATAAACCAGGAGGAAGGTGAAGTGTGCATTTCAGTGCACTGCAGGATGGCGTCACCTCTGCCCTGGCTGTACATTATTTTATGGTAAGATTTTCTTCTTCTTTTTTCTGATTTTGCCTTTTAGCTCAGAGGAAAGGGAAAGCACACACCCAGTGGGAAGCTTCTACACTAACTCGTGCAAGAAGCCTGGGTGCCGTGGCCTGTATGTGTGGTGGGGAAGAACGGGACGGATTGAACGGCATGTTTTCTCTGAGGCTGGGAGTGAGGGTCTCTGACTTTCTACTCACAGGGTAGAAAATGCCCTAGGGAAACTTGAAGATGAAGGAACCTTCTACTCAGAGAACATCAGTCGGATCCTGGACAACTTGCTTGAAGGCTATGACAACCGGCTGCGGCCAGGATTTGGAGGTGAGAGGCAACTCCCTTACTAGACCAAACATCTGTTCTCCTTCTCACTTCCTGCCATTCCAAGGCCAGGGGCCTCAGAAGGGTAGCAGGAGGGGTAATGTGCAGGGGTCTGGAGAGAGCCCACGCGTGTGTTCCAAGCCAGTCTGCCCCTTCCCTATGAGTGACTTTATGTGTAAGTGATTTGATCTCTTTGAGCCTCAGTTTCCTCCATTATACTGTGAGTGTATGAATGGTATTTGCCTTATAGAGTTGTGTGAGTGTTGAATGAGATTCTCTATGTAAAACACTTTTCTTTGCATTTATCCCATTAAAGTTATCAAGGTTAGTTTTTGTTGTAATTTTTATTAGAATACTGACCTAGGTCTCTTCCTTTCCTTAAATTCCCCAAGTGGCCAGAATAAATGCAAAATACGGCAACTGGTGTGAGTTTTCAGAGCTGAAAACTTAAGGATGCTCTCTCTACTGGGGTTACTTTGGGATGGGTGCCACATTATGTCCGTAAGAAGGGGCTCTGTGGTCGAGTGAATTAGTTCTATTTCCCTTAACATCGCTGGTGATAACTGGCCCTCTCCTTCTGGTCTAATTTCAGGTGCTGTCACAGAAGTTAAAACAGACATTTACGTGACCAGTTTTGGGCCTGTGTCAGATGTGGAGATGGTGAGTGAGCTGAGTGAGGCGGGTAACTTTACTCAGGGGGAGGCCAAACTCATGATAATAAGCATTGTTACCAAGCTTGGCTCCAGGTCCCTATTGCAATCTGTGAACTCATGCTGGGAAAGCATGGCCATTACTGGCTTAGACTCCCTCACTAAGGGCTCTGCTTGAACACTTTAATCTGAGGCATTTTTAAAAATGATATCCTCTCTTTGTCCACATAGCATGCACTGATTCTTCCCAACAAAGAGATTTCCCCCATCTTTATGAAGTCCTAGTAAATGTCTGAAGTAGAAAAACCAACAAAGATGCTGTGCCATGTAAGAGTATATTGAGAATATGGAACTTTCAACATAGCTGTTTTTGCAGTCCATAATTCTCAGTATATTTGGAAAGACGAATGCATTCTCCCTTTTATGTTGCGAATAGACCAGTTAGGTGTTCTGGGGACTCTATTCAAGATATGAGTGGCTGTAGGGTTCGTAAAAAGGGTATTTGTAGTAAGTGATAATGAAAACCTGAACTAGTCTTCTAGAACAAAGTGTATTACAATATGCTTGCATAGTTCTTAGGTAGCATTTCCTCCTAAAGGTAAAATAGAAATACTAAAACTGAAATAAACAGAACTCTTTAAAGAGGTGCCTCAGTACATTTTACTAAGAAATTATAATTCTGGATAAATAGTTATTAGAGACTTTTCATTCTGCTTTTTGAGTTGACAAGGAAAGAAAGAAGAAAGGAGAAAAGAAATAAAAGAGGGAGAGAGAGAGGAAGGAAGAAAGAGAAGAAAGAAAGAAAATAGAGGAGGAGAGAGGGAGGGAGATTTTATTTAAGGCATAAATGTCTACATCTTGAGAGAAAGGAGAGTCATCATTATCCAGAATCTTCCACTATTTTATGATCATATTTTTATTTGAGTACTGAGTCACCCAAATATAAATAACCACAACCATGTTCTACTGTTTTATTTGTCTAGGGATACTTGGAACTTTATTTTGTACAATTTGTCTCATTTCTAAAGTATATTTCTACAATAGAGCCTGGTTATAGGATAGGTCATTACTATATGGATATATTGGATGTCAAATTTTACTTGTAAAGATATAATTACCACTTGCAGTAATAGATCTCATAAAGGAATGTATAAAGTAGGCAAAACAAATGTTGGCAATATTGTGATATAATTACAAATTGTTATTTATTGTTGACTTTTGCAATAGTCCTTATTATAAATGTTATGATTTTTAATATTATTTCATAAAAGCAACCAATTAAAACTAACAATTGATTATGCATAGTTAAATGATGCTCTGTTTGAATAATGATGGTAACATTTGCCTTTATGTTCTCTGAGAATATAGAATAATTATGAATATGCAGTTTATCAAGTAAAATTTATCTATCCTTGGAACTTCGCTAAATGATACCATAATGCTCAGGGACGCCTCTGGAGGTGAACCAATTGTAAAGGGGGATGGTTAGACTAACTGATGCTAAAGAAGTCAGTACTGAACCTAGACTATAAATATTTTCATATTTTTCTTCTAAATTAAGGGTAGGGGAATCAAGGGATGGAGAGATGGGTGATGGAAAAAGAGGAAGAATGTTATTGAGGGTCAAGATTAAGGACGGAGGTTTACGCACCACAGCACTATCTTTATAATAATATTATACATTTTGAGTTTGAGAAAAATAACAATTCTTTGAAATGATGGCTTTCTTGATAGGTTATTTCCATAAAAAAGTTGCTTTATTCCTTAGGCTTTAGGACTGGGTATATAAGCTAGTGAATAAACTATTCTTAATAGACCATCTCCTCAACCTGCATAAATATCTTCTCTTTTAGGAGTATACCATGGATGTTTTCTTCCGCCAGACTTGGACTGATGAGAGGCTGAAGTTTAGGGGGCCAATTGAGATTTTGAGTTTGAATAATTTGATGGTCAGTAAAATCTGGACACCTGACACTTTTTTCAGGAATGGCAAAAAATCAATTGCTCACAATATGACAACTCCTAATAAACTTTTCAGAATAATGCAGAATGGAACCATTCTATACACCATGAGGTAAGGTTTCCACAATTCTAATTCCTCTACCCAACTGGTTTGTCCATTGCACTAATTCAGAATCATTCATTTCAATGTCCCTAGGCTTACCATCAATGCTGACTGTCCTATGAAGCTGGTTAACTTTCCAATGGATGGGCACGCTTGTCCACTCAAGTTTGGGAGCTGTAAGTTACAAAAAGCTTCTGAGAGTCACACAAGGCATTCAAAATATGTAATTATTTGGTTTCAGTCAGAGACTGGAAAGAAAAAGGGAAATATTACTGTAACACTCTCAGTGTGATTCCAGGAATACATGTACTTAATCAGGTCTGTCATAGTCAGAGTGTTTGGTCATTCAGATTAAAGAAAAACATTAAAAAAATTTATGTTTGTATTTCCATTTTTTATGGACAAAATTTACTTTGAAAAAAAAAAAGCATGAGTCAGATTCACTGCTATGTTTGTTTAAAACTTCAGATGCTTACCCCAAAAGTGAAATCATATATACATGGAAAAAAGGACCACTTTACTCAGTCGAAGTCCCAGAAGAATCTTCAAGCCTCCTCCAGTATGATCTGATTGGACAAACAGTATCTAGCGAGACAATTAAATCTAATACAGGTAGGAATTTGACCAATGCATGGATATAATCCTGCAAGGTGGCTCCAGTGCACACTTTCAAAATATCTATTTCATTTTCCTCTGCATTAGCCATCCTCAGATAAGCTTGATGTTTCAAAGTGATGATGAGTAGCTTTCTTTAAATTGATTTTGCAGCCATGTGCACATGAAGATTTGTATATGCTTGGAGTAGTTTTGTATGTATATGACACGAAGAACCCCACTGAAAACACTGAGCTGTTGTATCTATCATCTGCTGATCAAGTGATTTTGTCATACATTGAAATATGCCTTTGCTTGTTTTCTTCCAGCCCATGTTAATTTAAAGATCTGCAAGATTTATTTTCAGTTGCATTCTTTTTACACACTGACAACAACAATAATACTGATATACGTGTCTTCCAACAGGTGAATATGTAATAATGACAGTGTATTTCCACTTGCAAAGGAAGATGGGCTACTTCATGATACAGATATATACGCCTTGCATTATGACCGTCATTCTTTCCCAGGTGTCTTTCTGGATTAATAAAGAGTCGGTCCCAGCCAGGACAGTCTTTGGTATGCTTCACTCTTTGGGCTCTATTTCCATTCATCCTCCACTTCTCATGGCTTGTGTATTTCCGGAAATATTCACCCCAGTGGGCTTTTTCAGTCCACAAAGGAAATAGGCTCATATCTCATTCGGACACATGTACTGTGTAAAACGACCCTTCTCTAGAATTCAAGCTGGTTTTCGGGACTTTCATGTGACCTATTTAGGAGGTTTCTTTGTTATCGTTGCTTTCATTTTTTTTTATCTCAATCTGCTTTTTCATAAACAAGGAAAAGCATAAACATAAAAACTGACATGAAAATTTGTAAAAGCAAAGGCTAAGATGTTGAACCCAGCAACTTATAAATTGCATCACACTTTTATTAGGTTGAACCATAAAAGAAATGATATTTCCTAGCTCTAAAAATACTTAAATATTCCCAATTTCCCATGGTTCAGCCTAAATATTTAATTCTACTTATGATATATAGAATCACTACTAGGATTGATGGAACAAAATAAGAAAAAAAGCTGTAATGATGAGAAAATATCATCAGGAACAAAATCCAATTTTTCTGAGGTTTCATGATTATAAATGTAGTAGTTCATAAAGAAGACCTGAGTTGAACTGAAATTGCAGATGGATTTTCACTTTTTAATTTACTATATTAAAATAGATTGCTTTTTGCAAATTATAAAATAATATCTATATAATGATGTTGACCATATTCAAATTACATAAGTTCCCCAAGTCATAATTCAAGACAGAAAACTGCTGGCAGATGAATGATGAAATTATTTTCTCATGAGAAAATATTTTACCTTAAAACCAAGCTAGAAATTAAAAAAAAAAAAACAAGAAAACTGAGGAACCTCATTTTATGATTATTATTTATACCAGATAGACTTCTTAAATATGATGAAATATATTATCAGTGATTAAAATTGATCACAAGTTCAAAGTTTTATTCCTTCAGTGATAATAACTTGCTTTATGTTTTCTAAAGAAGTAAACAACTAGAGGTTTTCATGACTTCAGTTATACAATAGTCAAACTACATCAATTCAAAAAGTATCTTTGGAGCAATTACAATTACAATGTACATGTCACCGCACTAGGTATTGAAAGATACAAAACTGATAATGCCTATGACAATAATTGTGAATGATGGTGAGACAATAAAATAATGACGGTAGGGCCGGTTGAGTGGCTCA